CCGCAAGCACTCACAGCAGACCTCGTGTTCCACAGTCAGAGTTGACTGGTGCTAACGGGAGGTGTGTACCTGAAGCACTCCTGGCATTACTTACCTTTTCAAAAGTAATTCCATATCACATGAAGTGAGTTACTTTCTGCAAGTGAACAGCCCTTAAATATCTCTGTTCTTTAACAAAGATGTCTCCGACCCTACAACACTGTCGGGTTGTCATATTCTCCCAAGTTCAGCATCTGTACCCCATCCCCATCCTCACAAACCTGTAGGTTTTCTGCAACTCTGAATCTAGGGTATATTTCTTCCCTGTAGGGATTTCTTCAAACTCGTTTTCAACTCATTAGTGTGATCTTTCCAAAATGCAAATATCCCCCTCCACGGGCTTCCCGCTGAGCAAGGGAGAAACCCAAACCAATTAGCTGCTCTGCTGCCAGGCACCTCCTTGCTGCAGCAGCTCTCTTGCCCCAGAGGGGCTGGCTCCTGCTCTCCACACCTCAGCCCTGTGTGTCAGGTGTCCTGTCTCCTCTGTTCAGGCAGCTGACAGCCAGTGGGAGTCCTACAGTGTGCCCTGTGGACACACCTGGGTACAACCAGATACTGACAAATGAGAAGACAGGTGAGCTGGGGAGCAACAGATGTAGCACATGAGAGGCAGGAGACAAGGGAGGCAGCTTGTGTTAAGGGGCAGATGTAGGGTCAGGTGTGGAGGACAGATGTGAGCAGTTGTGCAGGACAGGTGTGAGGGCAGCTTTGAGGGGCAGGTGTGATGGAGCAGGTGTGGAGGGGCAGGTGTGATGGGGCAGGTGTGGAGGGTGGTGTTACCTTCCACAGGCCAGGACACCACAGGTGTTGGTGGACACCATAGCCCCTGAGTGGCTGTGTAGGCACCTTTGTCTCCCGCTGGGACTGAGAACGGCTCCAGGAAGAGCCTCCTTCCATGCTCTGCATATCCGCATCACCTGGCACAATTCTGTGCACTCAGTAGTTGCTCAAGGAAAGTCTGTGGATGGAGGACATATAGAGAAGGGAGGAAAGTCTCTAAGTGACTTAAAAATTGCTTTGCTGGAAAGCTGAGACTGTAACTAGATGGTCACGCTACCCAGTTGATAATTTTCTGAGCATTAATGAGTGAAAGTCATAGGTTTGTGGACATGTAATTTACAAGGTGGGCCCATTTTTTGTTCTGTTTCAGATAGGCCTGGCATGTTCTGGGGCTTCCAAGTTAAGTCTTTCCTGACACGCACAAGCGCAAAAGGGTGGATTTACGAGCTGCGCTGGAATTTCCGCATGTGCTCCATCACTGAAGAATGCTGAATCTTCCGATATTTCCCATCTTTAACTTCCTGTCCCTCTCCTAACATTAATTGAAAGTGACTAAACAGAACTTCAAAATGAAAATTAATGAGCTCGTAAAATATGGTGTATTTGTCGAAATGCCAGGGAGTGTCATATGCTCCGTATCTGGCATTTTTCTCCCTGAAGTTAACATCATATTTTTAAATACAGTGTCACAATTCTTTCCCTTACCTTTTGCATTTAACCTAAACCACTTTCTGTCGTCTTTGCTGTGAAACTGAAATAGTACATCAGGTGCCAAGGATCCAGCTGTTTTTACTTTTTCTTTAAATGTTAGGCTTTGGCACGTGCTCACACAGAGGGGTGGCGCTAGGAGCTCACAGATCATGGAGAAATCTGTTCTTGCACATTAATTTCTCTACTTTTGTTCCGATTTCCTTGAACTGAGAAATGCACAGTGACCCATTCTTAGTAGATGGTAATTATTCACCAAGTGTGCAGGGTCCCCCAGACTACCTGGAGACTCACGGAGTCGCTAGAAGGACTCAGAAAGCCCGAGCACTCACAGTTAACAGTTCACCACCGCCAACAGATGTGGGTTAAGGGCAGCCAATATACAATTGTGTGGGGCAGAGTCTGGGGACGACCAGGCACTTGTCCCCTGGAGTCACACAGATGGCACCTGGTTCTCCCACAGTGACATGTGACAAGGCATACAGTGCAGTGTCAACCAGGGTACCCCACTGAGCCTGTGTCAGGTTTTTATTGGGGGCCACCATGGCACCCGGGCATGGGGTACCCATGTGACTAAACCTCGAGTCCAACGTCCAGCCCCTCGGAGCGCAAACGGTACCACATGGCCCTGGGCCCCTGCTGGGCAAAGACCGGCGTTCACCAAAACTGCTGTCAGCATGGACTGTCTGACATGACCAAAGGCCCAGATAAACAAAGGCATGCCCAGGTAGGGTGCCCCCAAGGTTCACAGTCACCGAGGAGCCAGTCAAAACCAGACTTTTCTTGGGAATGTGCAGGGTTTGAACACAAAGCCCTGCTGAGTTAAGCCTCTCCTGCACGCCACATAAATGCACATCTCCCTTGTCCTTCACAAAAATAAGGAGATAATTTCTGCACAGTCTATTTTTTATGATCAATTTGTACATGAAAAGAGTTGTTAGATATTTGATGGGAAAGTGAGTTGAAAATTGAGATCTTTCTGTATTCTGAGATTATACCCTTCCTATAATTTCATATTATTTTTTAATATCATAGGGAAAATGAACGGTGTTTTTGTTTTTATTTTCTTATTTGTTGAAATAAGATGTTGAGACCCTGTGGTGGCACCCGTTGCAGTGGTTTTGGGGTCGTGCTATGTGAAACCTGTGGCCCCGTGTCCTGCCCACCTTCCTCATGGTCTGAGGGAGCCCTGACATTCTGGACTGGCAGGCAGGTCCCTGTAGACAGCAGCCTTCGCCTCGGGGCTCTGCCACACTGCCTGCTCTGCCCGTTTGCCAACCCCTGTCATCCTCGCAACCCATGAGTGCCCAGCCCACAGCCCTATATCATCCAGAGAGTTCTAGCATGCTTTTCTCTCCATACTGGGTGTCAGTGTGGCTAGAAGTCTACTGTCTGGACTCTGGCTTCATGGACCCACCAATAGTTTGACCTTGAGCAAATTATTGAACCTCCTTGGGCCTCAATTTCCTCATCTGTGAAATCAGAACATCTGTACTTTCTCCTTAAGGGTAAAAGTGGAATAGTCATGTGAGTGGCTAAGACTACCAGTGTTCAATGAGCTCTGGCTCCTGCTGCATCCACCATGTCATAATGCGCCCCTGTGGTCAGCTGTGGGTGTCCTTCCTCAGGGAGACCAGCCCCTGTGTGCATCTGTGCGCAGCTGGTCTACGCCTGGCTCGGAGCAGCCGCAGAGCAAACAGCTGTCGAATTAAGGAGTAAGACTCAAGTATGGCAGCCAGGCTCACCCCTGGGCTAACTAACACGTGGCCACTTCCTATCAAGGCGAGCAGTAGCGGTTAAGGCGGCCCAGCCGCACAAACACCCTGCAGGGGCTGCTCCTCCAATTAATCACTTTGATCAAATTGATTCTGAATTGGATATGGAGGCATTTGATATTTTAGAGGAGCAATCTAAAGGCTCATGTTATCTGGCCCTATGCAGAGATCATTCCTCTGGAGCAGTGAGCTTAGCTGCCCCACAATCGGCACAGTCTAGTTTGAGCGCAGGGTTAGGACCCAGGAAATGCAGGAGGGTTCAGTGCACATTGTGTGAGATGGGTCTGGCAGATGCAGCTGGGTCCTACACCGGACGAAGCAGGTTCAGCTCCTCTGGGAGTCGAGTGTGAGCCGGTTCTGATTTTCTTCCTAAACAGACCCATTGGATTTCTTTCCTCAGCTGTTGAGAACTAACAACATTACATACAGCTTCCCCCATTCTGTCCTGGCTGCTGGAATCTAAAGAGATTACAGCTAGCATAAAATATAAAATATAAGAACTATTGCACCTCAGGTTCTAGATGAAAGTATCTCTCCATTCCTTGAAGATAGTTTTTGATATTACCTCCATTTCTTCACATGAATTTTTCTGTTTTATACATTTTAATATGACAAGTCATCTCAATTATTTCAACAGGTTATAAATTGCAAAATTGGGTTAAAAATATATGCTTCCGTTCTGCAGTGGAGTTGTAGATGAAACATAGCCCTTGTGTGTGCGTAGTTCTTAGTGTTCACAGCCCTGCCTATGGTTTTGCTCAGATCTGTGCACAGCGATGCTGAGGAGGAGAAAGGACAAGTGTTAATTTCTGCTTCATAAGACGCATGTAGTTTGGTGGCTAAAGGCTCCGGCTGCAGAATCAGACAGATGTTATTTCAAACACACAGTATCTAACTTTCCTAAGCTTTTCTGTTTGATTGGCGAAATGATGCTCATAGCCCACCTCAGCGCTGTCGTGAATTTAGATGAGGGTACAGCTCACGCGCTGGCATGCTTCCTCGTGGTAGCCCACAGGCAGGGGTGGGGCCAGCTTGTGATGCTGAGCAACACAACACATGGCCTGTGGACGTGGCCTTGGGCTCTGGCATCAGTTCCTACGTCCAGCATCCTGCAGATGGGCCGGGTTCGAGCACCCACTCCACGCTGCCATGCGTGCCAGGTGGCTGCACAGTGGTGACCCTCCTGGGTGTGGCCGGGCATTGTGACATACTCAGCATCTCGTGTACCTGCCAGAAACGGCCCCCTCCCACATACCCACGGCCCCCCCTGCATGTCGTGCCTTCAGGATCCACAGCATCATTTCAGCGTCCTGAATTGTAGGGGAAGTTGTCACCTGGGCCTGTCAGCTTGCTTAGAAATGTTATTAAATATCATCAGTGCTCATTTACTATTTCCGAAGTTCACATGAGATGTATTAACAGGAGAGGGTGACGTGCGTGAGGCACCTCGGGAATGCCCGGCTGTGTTTCAGGGAGAGCAAATCCAATCGGGCATTTTTCCTTCCTGTTAACTCAGGAAGATACAGCATTGTAAAATGCAATTATGTTGCACCCTGTAGCATTAAATATTAACATGTAATGTTAAAGTAGTTGAGAATGTAAAGTAGGTATTAAAGAAAGAGCTGCTATGACAAGAGCCTCTTGCTATGTCAGTAGTCACATGGGAGGGTTGTGGCATCTCACCTTGTCCCACCGATGGCTTTAGAGAGAAATATAAACTCACCAGCCACCTGGAATTGTTTTAAATGTTTCGTTGCTGTCTAATAAATTCTATAGGTGGTTACATTGTATAAACTATCCACCTTTGTTTAATATTCAAGACAAACACACTTGCCTATATCTCTAGGCAAATCCTTACAAATGTGCTATACTTTACAGATGCTCTTTTTTTCCTAGCACTGAAACAAACACATATAACCTAAAACTAATATAAAGGAAACAAAATTATGCCTTTAATATTGAAGAAGCTTCCTTCATAAGGTGCCAATAATGTCTTTATATTTGCAAAATCAGCTGATTATGAAAACCTAGAAAGAACTGAATGGCCTCCCCTGGCTTCACGCTGTCAGCCTCTCGCTTTTACCGAGTCTGTGCACTCCCCGAGCAACTGTACTGTGGGGACTGAAGATCTTGCATCAATATCCCTTCTGATGATCTGAAATATAAATGGGATCCATATACTTCTCCTTAGGGTTTTATGTCAGTCTTTATTGCTAGATGATGATAAAGTCCCTAAATTTGTTAAGGAAAATGACTTTGAATTTTGCTAATGTGATTGGCGAGTGATTGAAGCTCAACTGTCCTGCGTTTCGCCGGTAACTCCTGAGGGTTCCCTAGGCCGCCTCCTGGGCTTGCAGCTCAAGTCCCGAGGGACACTGTACCCCGCATCCTCAGCATAAAGTAATGGGACCATCACTGGCCACTTTCCATGTCCCCATTCAAGTATATTAAAGAAATATACGTAGGTGCTTCATGCGACTTTCAAATGACAATACATTTCCAGAAATTTTATGTTTTTCTTGGTATCGTTCTGCAGAGCAGGGACACCAGAAATAATAGCCAATTGCTATTTCCTGAGCATCTGCCATGAATGCACTTTTGAAATATCGCCCATGGACCCTCTTCTCTGGAAGTTTCCCAGCCCACCTTGGGACAGGGAACGTGGGCACCACCGAGGTGCCTGAGAGAGCATCTTGCACATTCCAGGAAGAAAATTCAAGGGACTCAACCTGTCCTGCTCTTGGCTGAACTCAACCTGTTCAGCCCAGGGCTGAACTTCACCTGGAAGAGCACACGGGGCAGTGGTTGTCCCTCTGGGGGCTGGGCCAGCTCCTACAGCACCCTCAGTGTATGTGGAGACCAGATCCAGCCCAGTGTGTGTGCACCCATCTCCCCGCCAATGACAGCACAGGGCCCAGAGACCAAGACGTGTGTGCCAACCTCCCCTCCCTTCACAGAGAGTATGTTTTGATCACAAGGGTCTGTTTCTTTTAAAGCCTGGCGTGGATGTCTATGCCCCACCAGACATACGGACGTTTCTTCCTGATTATTCTTGCTCACCTGTATTTAAGAGGCACAGTGCTAAGAGTCTATAAGGGAAGGGGGTGACTTTTTATACAAAGTTGCCAGAGTTAGAATTTCACCCTGAGAACGGGAAGGAAATGCTTGTTTGCTCCCTTCCCTGTGAGCGCTGTGTGGTCTGGGCTCTGGGCCACACCCAGCAGAATACGGTAATGGGACAGGAAAGCAAGATGTGTGTTGCTGGACACGGCCCATGAGACCCGCTAAGTAAGACTAACGGCAGGGTCTCAGCAAGTGTTTGGACCCCACTACCCTGCCTGAGACGGAGACGGCGAGAGCAGCGCCCCATTCCTGCAGGGACACCTCATGGATCAGATTCTCCTTAGCACGAGACATCGGGTGTTGAGGTGTGCCCTTTATTCATCACAAGTTTCTATATCAGATTATATTCACAGCACATGGATTTATCTTTCTTAGTGATATGTAAAAATGAAAACAAATGGAAATCCATGTGTTGCCTTTAAAATATTATTTTTATGTCTATTGTTTTTTCCCATCATCTTCAGAATTAACTTTAACACAGCTCCATGGACAGCTGTCTGATGTTGCAAAATGTGTACACATTTCTTCAGCTTCTTTTTGGTCGTAGTTGTTTTAGGTAAGTGGTATTGAATGAATTAGGTTATCTGGATTGACACATTCCTGACTCACTGCGTAAAGCCCCCCATCTCTGGTCACCAGCTTTCTTGGCCAATAAACAGACCGACGTTAGGGATCTTCTCCATGCAGGGCATCGAGCAGTAGCTGAGCTGCAGGAAGGAGAATGCAAGTCAGCTGGCAACGAAACTTGTACAAAAACATCCAGTGAGTGCAAGACTGAGCACTCTCCCAGAATTTGCCTCCTTAAATAACATTCTGAAATGAAAAGCTCCCTTAAATAACATTCTGAAATGAGAAGCTCATTCATTACTTCAAGGAGTGATTTCTATCTTGAAGCTGAGTGTGGAGCCAGGCACCTGCCACCTTCATTGTTCACAGATTTCTTGTCGTCCTCCTCTGCCCAGTTGGATTGAATGGGAAGCAGCTGGTGGGCACGGGTGGAACCCCTCACTCTGGGCAGTGGACAGCTAAGTGTCATGGGGCTGAACTTTGGGAGAAAAAGGGAGAATTCAGGGAGAAAGGTGCAGTTGGGACTAGGGCAGGTAAATCCCAACCACAACCAAGCTGCATTTTGACCATTCTAAGGAATCTGGAAAGTGGGGGGACGTGGGCGGCCACAGCCAGTGGCTGCGGTAGAGAGCTGCCAGGTGTGGTGGGATGCACACATCCCTGCAGTGGTGGCTCCCCTGTGGGCCAGGCAGAGAATTCAGCCTGGTTTGGGATCCAGGACCTGCCACTTACACCATATGACCTCTGGCAAGTCATGTCACTTCCCATTTCCTGGTGTCTCAAATGCAGACTGCGGTTCTGATGTCACAGCGTCCTTGGGAGGATTCTGTGTGGAGTGAGGCGGGGCAGTGTCTGCACACCATTGCTGTTCCACCAGAGCACATTTGTTTCCTCGCTGCCCCACGTTTCGTTGCGTGACTTCTTCAAGCTGCGGTTTCCCCTGACAGTGGTCTACGCTGGGCTCTTCCACACTCGCAGTTACCAAGGACAATCTCCTGGATGGTGCACCTCTGCTCAACACAGCCACACCCTCAGCCTCCCCTGAACTGTTCTCCACTGCCGGTGCTGGGCGCTGACTGCAAATCTGTTTTCTGCCCATTTACTTTTAATTCAGGGGCTAAAACCTCTGTTTTGAGCAACAGCATTTATTTATTTTAGAATATGCATTTTAGGTTAAGAAGTGGACCTAAGAATCTGGGCTTCTCTTAGTTAATTTAGCATGAAATTTCTAAGGACATAACTGGTCTCTGTCGTCGCTTTCCTTTCTTTTTCCTCTCAACAACAAGGGAGTTGTTCCTCAACTCTTCTTCCTGCGACACGCTTGCTTTTCTCCAGTGGCGACGGCCACCTCAGCGACCCAGGGCAGCAGTGCGGCAGGTGGCCCTGGGGGAGCCTGCCCTGAACCCCGACAACTGCCCATCGTGGCGCAGGCAACACCAGATCCTCTGGACTTTGAAAGCTAGAAATCTGTTTTTTGTCTCAACTCTTCCCATTTTTAGGTGTCGGCAAAATTCATTAATTCCGCCAGATCCTTGCGGAACCCAATGGGAACCTGCTTCATGCCCAACTCCACGTCTGGGGAGAGATTTGGGGGCCACAGCCCCACCACGCCTGCTTTCCTCTGGGTCCAGGCCCTCCTCCACTGGCTGTGCATCTCGCCAGGAGGCCTGTCCTGCAGCAGATGGGGCAGGAGATCACTGCACAGTCAGCCTGTGAGGACTGGAGAGGGCTGTCTGTGCCCTGCTGGGAGTGGAGCTGGGTGGGACCCAGACACGGAGTGGGCTGTTTCCCTGCATCTCAGAGGGCTGCTTGTTGGGGAGAGGCAGCCTCCTGCTGTAAACTGCAGTGGCCCTTGGAGGGCTGGGGCCCCCACCCTGACCTCCAGAAACACCAACTCCGAGGAAGCCCCTCTGCAAGGGCACAGCCACCACAGGGAAGTGGGAAGGGCACCTACTGTGAAGTCAACATGTCCCTGGAGTTTCTAGCAGCCGAGTCCCCTCATCCTTGGAAGTGCCACCGGGCCCCCCTCTAAGAGTGATTCCCTCAGTTGTTCAAATACATCGTGTCAAAGTGAAAACCACGCTGGGCGAAGTTAGACAGGCAAAGGAGATTTTGTTCAAGGACATTGCCAGAGAGGAGAGACCAGAACTGGTCTGTGCTCCACTCCCCTTGCAGAAGGGCAGGAAGGTTTTGGAGCTGGGGACCCACCTTCCCCAGAGCTGGGCTGGGGCTGCCTCCTCCCTGGTCTGCCAGACCAGGGAGGTCTGCAGGAAGGTCTCCCACCAGCTGCAGGAAGACCAGGCTGGGCCAGTGACAAGAGCAGGGAGAAGATCTGCATCTCAAAGGACCAGAGGAAAATCTGCAGTGACAGGTTTCTCCGAAGCGAAAGCTCTGTGGGAAGGAGGTCACAGCCCATGGTCAGACAGCACCCGCTGCGGTTCAGGGCAAGTGAGATACCTGCAGTCTGGAGACACTGCGTGAAGACCCCACATACTGCCAGAGCCCCCGACTCTGCAGACTGATGGGGGCTGCCGTGTGCCCTGGGGCATTAGAAGACGGCATACGTGGGTCCCCGGCATCTCCTGTGTGGAGCCGGGGCGGTGAGGGAGCTTGCTTGGACCCATCTGTTTCTGTCTTATGAAGAGAAAGTGCCTGTTATGTGACAGATGCTCCCAGTCCGGGCAGCCAGTGTTCAGAGTGTGAGAGTGGCTTCTCCATGTCTGCTCACTCAGGCAAAATAATTCTTGTTAAACTCAAAGCTGCCACCTGAATGTCCTCTAGCTATTAATGGTATTGACCTGTCTCCACAGCCGAGTGTCCAAGCGTGCCAAGCCGAGTCCCAGCAGGCAAAGCCACCAGCAGGCAGAGCCAACAGCACTAAATTTCCTGGCAGCTCGGAGGCACATGAGGAAGATGGGGCCACAGGAAGGCTCTCAGGGCCGAGCGTGTGCCCAGTGTCCACGTGTGAGGCTGGTGGGGCATGGGGAGCTCAGGCACAAACTCCGAGAGTCACCCTCCTCACACCCAGAATGAATGTTTGCCCAGGAGGAAAAATACGTGTTGGCAGGATCCATGCCCGCCTGTGGCCTTGTGTCTCTCACACTGAAGAAATTGTTTGCTTTCCTTCGTCCTTGTACAGCCTTGCCGGACACCTGTCTGTCCAGTCCCTGCCAGGGAGGTGCAGCCAGAACTGAGCCTGCCCGGGGCTGGTCTGACTTCCATAACCGCCCACCCTGCTCAGATGCCACATTGGGGAGTCACAAAGTTTGCAAAGGGTTTAGAAGTTTCCTTTTCTTGTTTCTTTCTCTCTTTTTCTCCTCATTTTAAAATGAGTTCTAATGTGCCCTTTTCTGGGGGGATCAATATTCACATATTTGTTTATTCCTTCATAAAACAAACAAACGTTTATCCCTCCCTGTACCAGAGGCAGTGCCCAGGGCTGGGGAGAGAAGGACATGGCACAGTTCCTCTCCGTGAAGAACTCTCAGGATTGTCTTTCCACGAGGGTGTGTCGTGACGGACTTTCAACATCTGAGATGGGAAACGAGCATGGAGTGGGGCGAGAAACTCTGCTTTTGCTTTGCCTACATTAATGTCAAACCACCATAGCTTGCCCGATAGGACGTGTATGTACTCCTGTGTGCTTTGCTTGAAACAACACGATGGAGGGTGTGTTAGAGAAGGAGAGCTCTTCCGTCTCCGTCAGCTGCTACGGGCAGAGGGACACAGAGGGCTCTTGCTAGACGAGGGCAGAACCCCCGCAGGGGCTGTCCATCCCTGCACCCTCCTGGCACAATTCCCTCCAACGTTGTTGTTCCTTTTTCTTGTTTGCGGAACAAGGTGTGAGTCAGACCCCAGCACCCAGGCTCTGCCAGTGACCACAGCTCGAACATGGGGGAGATACGGAAATCTTGGCTTCCTCGGTTTCCCCATCTTTAAAATGGGCACAGCTTGAGGTTGCTCTGAGGATTAAATAAACTAATCCACATGTCCAGTACCTCAGGCAGCACTTCATATCCTTGATAGGAGGCGTTTTATGTGCTAGCTGCTTCTGCGATTGTGTCATCGCAGAAACTGCCATCAATGCAGAAGTGCTTTATACACTGTCTTGTTTTATTTTATTTATTTTTTTTTAATTCTTTTTTTATTTTGGCATATTATGGGGGTACAGATTTTAAGGTTTCAATAAATGCCCATTTCCCAAAAATCCTCTCCCTGGTGGAATACAGTTTGAACTCTGGACCACAGAGGTCGGACCTGCAGACGCAGATCCCTTGCACCAGGCTAGCATTGCCGGGCACAGAAGGGTTATATGTAACAGCTACTAGGTCTGTGTGTCCTCCAGGGCGGATCGGCGTCCTAGAGGGCAACCTCCTCCCAGGAGGAGGCATGCACCCAACCAGGGGCGTTCCTGTGCAGGGAACTCCCCGCCGCATCACAGTCCGGGGCTTGGTGGCTTTGGTCTGGCTGCTGGCAGAGCCAGGAGTAGCTGCGGAGTTGGGGAGGGTGGAAGAAGCGAGCTGCTGCAGCTGCAGGTCTCAGACAGCCCCCACACCCAGACTTTCTGGCTGAGCGGGCACAGTTCAGCCCGCCCTGACAGTCTCTTGGAAGCAGAGAAGACTTTGACCCTGTAACGCCTGAGGGCAGGCTTACCCAACCAGCTCCGCCCAGAACGAGAGCTGATAACAGGAATCAAAATCAAACTAGCCTGTTCCTCCAAACAAACGCCACTACTGACAGGGACAGCACTTGCACAGCCTTTCACGGCACCCCTGACTCAATATCAGGAGTGGTCCAATTTCACCCACAGACACACCTACGCCTCAGAACTAAACAAGGTGTGTCATACCAAACATAAACTAAGAAAAACAACAACTGATGACATGGGGAAGAATCAGCGAAGAACTCAGAAATATGAAAAAACGGAAACACCCCCAAAGAGGACACAGCCCCTAGAAACGGACACCTACCAAATAGGCTACACAATATGACAAAGGAATTTCGTATGTGGAACATAAGAACACTCACCCAGCTGCACAACAATCAACAACCAACACCAAGAAACCAAAAAGTCCAGGATATGAGAAAAGAAATAGACACATTGAAGAAAAGTGTAACGACTCCTGGAAGAATCATTTCA